GAAAGCTTATCCAAGTTACGCTGAAGAATAGAATCATCATTCGCCAATAAAACGATGTCGTCCGCGAACAGGAGACATGAGAGGTCCACGGATTCCCGTACTGCCCTCGCTCTCACAAGGCATGCTCAAGCTGATATCCAGGTTGGCTTCTCTGATCACCCATTTCCCATGAAGATGATGAATAGAAGAGGCGCTATTCGGCACCCCTGTCTAGTTCCCATATCTATTGGGAAAGGGTCAGATAAACCTTCCTGAGTTTTAACCTGTGCAACAGTATTACGGTGTAGTGATTCGATAGCTGAAATGAGCTTCTCATCACATCCGGCTAGCCTGAGAGCTCTCCAGATCGCAGGACGAGGTACTTTATCGAAGGCTGCTTTCAAATCTAGAAAAACAGCGGACAATCTGCGACCATTCCGGTTGCAGACTTCCTGACATCGACGTAGTACGTGAACCGCATCTAGAGTGCCCTTCGCTGGGAGAAATCCGAACTGCTTCTCTCCAACGAAACTCTCTGCTAGAGGCTTGAGCCTCTGCCCCAAAACTCCGGAATAAACCTTGCCGATATGATCGAGCAGATTTATCCCCCTATAGTTGCCTGCTACCTTCCTATCACCTTTCTTATAGAAAGGGATAATAATGGAATGTCCTAAAGCTCTGGGAATAGTCTCCGGTTCACTCCACCACTCTTTGCACAAGCGGTGTAAGATCCTCAGACAATGCTCACCACCGGCTTTCAAAGCTGATGTGAGCACCCCATTTGCTCCGGGAGCTTTACCATTATCCATAGAGCAGAGAGAGTCCTTCACCTCATCCAAAGTGATGTCATCCCCTCCCGTGCGCTCTATTGGAAGGTCGACTGGCTCAAGGGCAGGTAGAGTGCAAGTTTTCGGAGCAAATAGTTGCGTAAAATGACTTGCAAAGACCTGCGGAGAGAGGAGATCATGTCGTCTGTGGGTCAGTGTGAAGCCTAGACCAGATTTCAACTCGTTGATGAGGCGCTTGACATCCCCAACAGCGTGTTGAGCTTCCGCGTTCTCAATCTGAGAGCACTTCAGCTCTATAAAATCGGCTTTAGCTTTTTTTCACTACTGCAACCACGTTACTGCGAGCTTCGCGGTATGACTTGAAAGCTTCTGGCGTCTTCCTAGATAGGAATGCCTTCCATTTCAGTCTCTTCTCGCTAACTGCAGCTCCGACATGAGATGCAGAGAACCAGGGCTTTCCAGGACAAGATTTCACCCCATCCAGCTTACGCATGGAAGCTCGAAATGCACGGACTACGTCTGAGTAGGCACCATCCTGAGGACAAGTATGGATCATATCCATCTCGAACTCATGCTGGGCTTCCTCTTCGCGGACCTTCGCATTAAAAGCCCGTCTATCAACGATAGAACGTGAGGCTAATTTCCGTCCTTGCAGACGCCGGGTGGGCCGACAAGTTGCTGTGTTACGAAATCAGAGTTCTAGTGCACAGTGATCAGATGACCCCATGACTGTCCGTCTCACACGAACATCCAGCACTTGTA